ATCATACTTGCTCGTAAGATTTACCGTGGTTTGCGTCCCAAAATTCCAACACATATACCAAGGGTAGTTAATGAATTAATTAATAAGTGTTGGAGAGCTCAACCAAATAAAAGACCATCTTCTCAAGAGATATATGACACATTAAATGCATGGAATATTAATAATATATTTGATAAAGAATCAACAAATTTTATTGAACAAACTGAAAGTGCATTACATCACTTTGAGGTGCATTCCGAAGTAAGTTATATTAGCAGACGATTCAAACTTTTATCTAATATAAATTTGCAATGTTCTGATGAGCAACTTAGTCATCTAGGTAATATTTCTTTTATTAAACTAATTCAGTTTTATGATATATCATTTTCAATGTTGCTAATATAATATTTTAATGAAGATGATCAATATAAGCAAAATAATAGCAAAAGCTTGTTATTTATGGTCCCGCGCTAATCTCAATAAATTGATAAAAAAAAGATTAATGAAATTTACCCATTAAATATATGCTGTGCTTCCATTTTAAATATCAGCTAGTAAAGACTCATCGGTTACATTTTGACAGATATAAATTCCATTACATATAATAGAAAAAAAAATATCCGTATGAGAATCGTTCAGAATAAGAATCTATATTTTCCCCTGTTTTATTATTATAGCTAAAATATTGTACTAAAATATTTTTAAATAGGTTTAAATAGAGCTTCAAGCATTTATTCTGTATCTAAAAATATTCTATCTACAACACCAATATATATACTGTATCGTGATAACCCTTTTAAGCCTCTTCACCACGGTCATTCTGTCATCCTTAGTAATGGCGACTTATAAGAAACTGTCTTTCTTAAATATCGCCTATGTTATATCTAATTCAACCCCCCTAAGAAACAGCAGAACCAGAAAGAAACCCTGAAAATTAAATTTGAAATTTTATTTTCTTGACATTACTCATAAATTTTTGAAAATTTAATATATAAATGAGTGATCAAATACTAATAAAATTATTAAACAAGTGCAATTATAACATAAATTCCACTAATTCTAATAATGTTAACAATTTAATAATTAAATAAAATTGATGTTAAATTCATAGTTACGACTATTAATATATTTACCAGAAATCAGACGAAATAAAATTTATATGTTTATTCATGATGTTTCGCCATTATCTGTAGAGGCAAGAACCTTTAAATAAATAAGTAATATTTTCATTATAAACCA